AAATTATTAAATAAATAGTAATAATAATTTTCTAAATTATTATTATTATTATTTCCATATATGACGCCCATTTAATGAGGAGGTGGCAGAAAAATCAATTAAGAGGTGATTTCCTTTTAATGAAGCTATCAGTAGGAGGCAAACAACAAAAAGGAAGTTGTATCCCATCTTAAGAGATGGGAAACCTCTCATGGACTTACAACACCAAGGCCAAGCCATCTCCTATGTCTCAGGAGGGGCCGCCCTATTTTAGGAAACCGTCTCCTTCTCCTGCATTTAAAGGAGGTAGTGAGCTAAAGTTGTCAGCAAGTAAAATTCTTATCTATGAGGGAAAGGAGGGAGATTTCAAACCTCATATATACCTCCTCAATATTTTCACCCTAACATGACAGTGAAGCCGCCTATCTACTTCCCATCTCCCGGGAGGCAAAACTACAACTTTTCTATTTTTTTCAATTAAGGACAAAAAGGCGTAATCAGTGGAATTGACCTATCTAGAGGGTGTGACTTCAACATTGAAGCATACCATGATGATCCCTTTTCCATGCCGCACCTACTAGTGAAATTTCACCTCATTCCTACACAGTCGAAAAACTTTGTCTCAGTTTTCAATTAAGGACATGTTGTCGGTTTAAGGTGATCTAGGCATGATTTTCAAACCAAACAAAATCCATCACCTTACATACATGAAATTATGGCTAGATATCAAATTTGAGCAATTTTGGATATCAGTGATAACTTTTACACTCTTTTCAGTTAGGCTTAGTTTGGAACTAGGAAAAGTTTTAGGGAAAAGAAAATGGTTTCTCACAGTTTCTATATTTATGTTTGGTTAGTAGGGAAATCATGAGGGAAAATAAAAATAGGGAAAATAGGGGGGAAAGACTTAAAACTTTCTCCCACTTTCCCCTCAAAACTCAAGGGAAAATGTGAGAAAAATTTTATCGGGGGACAACTATCCCAAGGGGAAGGAGACGGTGCCGCGTAAAAAAGTTGAAGTAAGCAATTTTCATATCCCAATAGACACAACCCCATGACCCCACCTTTCTTCCCACGTGGTTTCATAAATTCTGAAATCCACTTTTTGGGGTTTTTTTTTGTTTGTTTCATGGCACAAGTTATAATAATAATAATAAATTTATTTATCTCTCTTTGTTTTCAAAATTGATTTTGTATATTAAAAAATATTTGTTTTCATATTGGTTGATCGGTCGTCAGCAATCATAAAAATAAATATCCCAACAATTACTAACTAAGAATAGTTAGGGCAAGTAGGGGTCGAACCCACAGAGAGATCGGTATTAATTTTTCTTTGAATAAAACAAATTAAATAAGAGATTTTCGAAGAAGAGTTTAAAATTAAATCTAACAAACAATAAAATTAACTAAGAAAACAATCAAGAAAATTAAAGTAAACAATTAATTGAAAAGCAGTGAATTTTATGAGAAAACAATTAAATAAAAAATCCTTCAATATAGAATTAATCTCCCTCTTGACATAAATAACATGGATCATTGATATCTAATAATTATGAAAACCTTGGATAGCTTGTTTAGAATTAAATCCTAATTACCAAATTAGATAAGATTTCCTTTTTGGGGCTTAAAAACTACCAAAAGAACAAAGCATTAAGCACTAGTAATTAACAAGCACAACAAGCAATTTCTCGGTCAATGATTCTTATCTCTCTTGGAAGGAAGGGTTAGTTCTCCTCCAATTGCTACATACAATTAAATCTGAGGTTGTAATTCTAGACTTAATTTAGCTAATGTTAACCTAATTCATCAAGGTAGTGTCGACTCCAACCCATCAAAACAAGCAACATAGAATTAAAACAGAGATCTAAGAAATACCCAAATAATTCTCATATATAAGCACAAAATCTCACCATGAAATTAGTCAAGAGATCAATTAAATTCTGCATTGGAGAAAAGAAAAGGATTACTCACTCATGAATTGAGTGAGCATCCACAAATAAGAAGAAGAAAAACTTATCTATGGATGAAGAAGAAGAGGGGGGCGGCGGCTCCGAGGTATTCTCCTCCAAATCTTCAAACTAAACTACAATATATCTTATGGAAAAATTACACACATAAAATCTAGACCTAAGGTGGCTATTTATAGTGGATAAACATAGATAGGGCGGTTTAGGGCTGACTTAGACTGCAAGTTGGATTAGATGTCATCCTAGAGTAGAATCCAAGTCAAAGTAGGATTCTGGAATTTTCTGGATTTCTGCAGAAACTTCACAGGCATATTCGGGCTTGAAAACGGCAGAATTGGGCTTCGGACTTCGAAGGAAAGTTGTAGATCTCAGAGTTAGCTTTCCAACGAGTACTCATGGGCTCAAAACGGACATCTGAGCAGAAAGTTATGGCCTTTCTACCAAGACTGCGCTAATTCCTACTCCAAATAGGACTAGTTACGGGAAATTACGGGATTTGGATATTCTTTTGGATATTAAGCCTATAAATTGGGATTTTAACTCCAATTATAGGTTTATATGGGCTGAGTATAATCTCATATAAATTATCCAAAACTCCTTAACTTCCGGGCTTCTTCTGGGCTTGGCTTCAATCCTTTGTAAATAAGCTCCAATCTTCAGTTCTTGCTCCTTGAAATAATTCTTCAATAATCTTCAAATCTTCAAATTATCTTCAAGAAATCTTCAAACACGAACTTTGCATCTCCAAATCTATATCAAAATCACTTTGCTAATATCTGTGTAAAAAGTCATCAAAATAGCTCCAAAAGTAGTGAAAATTAACAAATTCCAATTTCTCATCTTATAAAGACTAAAAACACAAATATCATCAAAATAAGGCAAATTAGAGCATAAATAGATCAAAAAACATAGTAAAATAGCCATAAATATAGGGTTGTTTTTGCCTCGATCATAATTTCCCCCACGCTTGAACTTTGCTAGTCCTTTAGCAAAAATCAATGTGTAAGTTAATCAAAAACAATTTTTTCAAAAGAACAATTTGAATTCACACATATATCAAGGAATCAATTCAACCATGAAATCAAAATAACTAAGAACCATAACAAATACTTAATCCAAAGATAAATGAACAACAAGCATTATCATTCTTAAGTAGCCATAATCAAAGTAGCTCAAATCACTCACCATCTTTACATCTATAATTACTTCTTCCTATAGGCTTGCATCTTCATCAATCTCTCCATCACTCAAAAGATTACATATCATAAATAAATCAAGGGTTCATGTGGGTTATAATAGTTTTTCAAAGGCAATTGATTTTAGAAAACTGAGGTTACTAACCTCTGAAGTATTCATATTTAGGGGTTACTAACACCCTTTATTTTATATTAAGGCTATTAGCACTCTAGAGGGACAATATTTCTGTCATTCCATGCCTCTTATCCTCTTCCCAAGGGTTACTAACTCCTTTTGTTTAAAGAGAAGAGTGACAACAATGGAATTTTTCACATTTTTAAATTTTAAGGAAAAAGATATCACTACTCCTCTTGCATGAAAGCACTTCTTTTAGAAAACAATTTTAATTACCCTTTATATAGATAGTCCCCCACACTTATTCTTGACAAACTCATAGCATGCTTTCTTAATTGATAGATAATCATAAAAGCAATGAATGAGTAAGATCATATCACAAACTTCAATTATACCTAATTCTAAGAAATCAAAACTTCTTGCTATAAATCAATCAATGAATAAAGCATTATTAAAAATTCTAAGCATTCATCAATCATAATCAAGTTAACAACTCAATATATGAATGAAAAATCAAATAGTTTGAAAAATCATCAAATTCTAGTACTTTCAAAAAGCAATTTTTTCGAAAAAATTATTTCAAAAATTGGGGAATAATAAACCAATCCAAAAACAATCAAATTTTATCCTAGATTCCATGCAAACATAAATTATCATATAACTCAATTATCAAATAATAACCCTATCAAGTATTCACCCCCCCACACTTAAAATTCACATTGTCCTCAATGTAAAAGTAATCAAGAAATCAAAGCATGCAAAATAACTTACCAAAAATAAAGAGTTAAGGTTCATGAAACATACCTGGGCGGCTTTGATGAAGAGAATTGCTCAAAAAGACAATAAAAATTAAAGTGATAGGAAAATAAAACTAGATAGTTTATTAATGAAACTTTAAAAATAAAGACATAAGATAAAGGAAAATTAAAGATAAAGCATAGCTAAACCTCCTCTTCCCCCTCTTTATTCTCATCACAATCGGCATTGCTCTAGTCGACTTCTTCTCCCAAAAATTGCTTCTAGCCGAAACTTTACTTTCCCAATATTACTACTTGTGTTTGATGAATAAAGAGGAGGGGTAGAGTACCTTTATATAGTGATCAAGTCCTAAGTCTAAGAGGTTTTAGTTAGAGTAAAAAGTAAGAAAACATACCTTGTTTAGGAGCACATTACCTATTTCGAAAAGGTTATTGTCGTGGAAAGCAATTAGGTACTTAATTTCCTAGTCAAAATAGGAAATCAAAATTTTAGTATACTTTGCATGGAGTGGCACGGCACTTTCCTTGCATGGCTCGGACTTGGCGCGGCATCTCCTAGCATGGCCGGGACATGGCCTGGTGCGGCATGGAGAATGGCCGAGCAGTGGCCTGACTATGGCGCAGACTGTGCTGGCGAGGCATCCTAGCGCTGGCCGAGCTAGGGCGTACAGCATGGCCTGGACCAAGGCGCAGGACGCAGTCCGGTGCTGGCCTGGTGATGGTGTGGTAATGCCAAGCTATGGCCGACCATGTTTGGTATGGTGCGAGGCATGGCTCGGTCATAGCCGGCCATGCATACTAACCGAGCAACCGGTCATGCATGGTCTATGGCTCGGTACTTCTTACTCCTTGGATAATTTTTCTTCAATTTAATGAAGACAATTTACAAAACCTAAAAACAAAAATTAAAATTAAAATTAAAATTGGGTTGCCTCCCAACAAGCGCTTGTTTAAAGTCATTAGCTTGACTTCCTTTCTTCATATTTCAAGTTGGAAGATAGGTGGAGTCTTCCAACTCAATTTCTTCAATCAAAGCTATTGATAATGGCTCAAAGAAAGGTTTAAGTCTTTGCCCATTAACCTTAAATTGATTCTTGCTATCCGGATTGTAAATTTCCACAGATCCATTAGGATATACTTTTATCACTTCAAAAGGTCCATTCCATTTTGTCCTTAGCTTTCCATGAAGCTTAATTGTGCTATTGAACAGCAAAACTTTCTGACCTTCATGGAATGATCTTCTCAATATCCTTTGATCATGTAGAGCTTTAGTCTTTTCTTTGTAAATTCTTGAATTTTCATAGGCCTCATTCCTTATTTCCTCAAGCTCTTGCAATTGCAGCATCCTTTGCATTCCAGCTTTGTCAAAGTTAAGATTGCATTGCTTTACTGCCCACCAGGCTTTGTGTTCTATCTCCACAGGTAAATGACATGGTTTTCCGAATACAATTCTATATGGGGACATACCTAGAGGTGTCTTATAAGCTGTACGATAAGCCCATAAAGCATCTCCTAGTCGCATACTCCAATCTTTTCTTTGAACATTGACTGTTTTCTCCAAAATCAGCTTCATTTGACGATTGGATACTTCAGCTTGTCCACTGGTTTGAGGATGATATGAAGTGGATACCTTATGTCGTACTCCATATTTTTCAACCAGTGCTTGCACAATCTTGTTGCAAAAGTGAGTACCTCGATCACTGATTAGATATCTTGGTATCCCAAATCGATGAAGAATATTATTCTTCAAGAATTTAACCACTGTTCTTGCATCATCCTTTTCCGTAGCAATAGCTTCAACCCATTTGGAAACATAATCCACAGCTAGAAGAATGTAATACTTCCTATCTGATGGAGGAAAAGGTCCCATGAAATCAATCCCCCATACATCGAAGACTTCAACAACGAATATAGGTGATTGAATCATCTGATTCCTTTTCGATATACCCCCAACTTTCTAACATTGTGGACAAGTCTTGCAATGGTCAAACGAGTCCTTAAAAAGTATAGGCCAATAAAATCCACAATCCAAGATCTTTCTTGCAGTCTTCTTGTGTCCAAAGTGGCCTCCACATTCCTCACTGTGGCAGAACTTTAAAACTGATTGAACCTCATTTTCAAGAATCCATCGTCTCATGACTTGATCAGATCCTTGCCTCCATAAGTACGGATCATCCCATAAGTAATACTTGGCATCACTTACGATCTTCAACTTTTGTCTTTTGCTAAGATCTGGGGTAAGGCGACGAACAACCAAGTAATTGACAATATCAACATACCAGGGAAGTTGAGAAACGGCAAACAGGTCTTCAAAGGGTAGTGCTTCATTGATTGTGATTTCTTCCTCCTTGCCTTCAATTCCACTTAGGTGATCGGCAACAACATTTTCGGCTCCTTTCATATCCCTTATTTCGATATCAAACTCTTGAAATAACAAAAGCCATCGCATAAGCCTAGCTTTTGCTTCTTTCTTTGACATAAGATATCTCAATGCAACATGATCAGAGTAGATTATCACCTTAGATCCCATGATGTATGGTCGAAACTTCTCCAAAGCAAAGACAACGACAAACATCTCTTTTTCTGTGGTAGTGTAGTTCTTCTGAGCAGCATCTAGAGTTCTTGAAGCGTAATAGATAACATGTGGTACTTTGTCAACTCTCTGACCTAGAACAGCTCCAATAGCGCGTCACTTGCATCACACATGATTTCGAACGATAGTTTCCAATCAGGTGGCTTCACAATTGGAGTGGTGGTGAGGGCAGTCTTCAATTTGTCAAATGCTTTCTTGCAATCGTCTCGAAACTCGAACTCTACATCTTTCTGAAGAAATCTACACATGGATGTTGAGATATTTGAAAAATCCTTGATAAATCTTCTGTAGAATCCAGCATGGCCTAAGAAAGAGCGGATATCTTTGAGACATGTTGGATAGGGCAGGTTCTGGACGACATCAACCTTTGCTTTGTCGACTTGCATTCCTTCTTTAGACACTACATGGCCTAGAACAATGCCTTGTTCTACCATGAAGTGACACTTTTCGGCATTCAATACCAACTTGGTTTCAACACACCTTTTCAAGATGAGTTCTAGATTATTAAGGCAATGATTGAAGCTATCTCCATAGACTGTGAAATTGTCCATGAATACTTCCATCTTATCTCCCACATAATCTTGAAAGATACTCATCATACACCTTTGAAAAGTCGCAGGTGCATTGCATAAACCAAAAGGCATTCTTGTGTAGGCATACGTACCAAAAGGACATGTAAAGGTGGTCTTCTCTTGATCCTCTGGTGCAATTGGAATCTGAAAATATCCTGAATACCCATCCAGAAAACAGTAGTAGGACTTGCAGGCTAATCTATCCAACATCTGTTCTATGAACGGCAATGGAAAGTGATCCTTCCTCGTGGCAGAGTTCAGCTTTCTGTAGTCGATACATACTCTCCATCCATTCTGCAGTCTTTGAGGAACAAGCTCTCCTTCATTGTTTTCTACGACGGTGAATCCAGACTTCTTTGGAACTACTTGGACAGGGCTGACCCATTTACTATCTGATATAGCATAAATGAGACCAGCTCCAAGTAATTCGAGAACTTCTTCTTTTACAACTTCAACAAGGTTTGGATTTAATCTTCTTTGTGGTTGTCGAACGGCTACTGCATCATCTTCAAGTCGAATCCTATGCATGCATACAGTAGGACTTATTCCTTTGATATCAGCTACAGTCCATCCAATTGCTTCCTTGTATTCTTAAACTCTGATTAATTGTTCTTCTTGTAAATCATTCAATTTACTTGAAATAACAATAGGTAGGGTCTCATTGTCTCCAAGGAAAACATGCTTCAGGCCTTCAGGAAGTGGTTTCAGCTTGACTTCTGGAGGTTGAATGATAGATGGCAAAGGCTTAGGTGTCGGTTCCAATTGAACATAGGAAACCAACTCCTTTTCCTCAATTGCAAGAAGTGTTTCCAAATCTCTGATGGTTTCCGCTACATCTTCAAACGTCAGGACTTCTGCTTCCTCGATTTCTTCTTCAACCAGGCTCTTTGTAAGGACCAACTCAAGTTCATCTTTATGGTGAAGTGATTGAACTTGTTCAGAGCATGCATCAATTGCGTCAATGGCGAAGATGGAATGGATCTTAGCAAGAGCTTTCATGGCTTCATTAATGTTGAATGTAATTGGCTTCCCATCAAATTCCATACTGATCGTTCCATCTTGTGCATCGAACTTCATCCTTGCTAAGATTAAAAACGGTCTTCCTAACAGCAATGGCAATTGAGGTAAATGAAGGTCTTCTTCATTCATCTCAGAACATAGAAATCTGCAGGAAAAGCAAAATCTCCTATTTGCACTAAAACATTCTCAACTAAACCCTCAGGTTTATGGTTAGTTCTATCAGCAAACTGAATAATGAGATCAGTTTCAAGCAGAGATTCTATTCCCAATTGCTTATAGACAGAATAAGGCATGATATTAATTAAAGATCCATATTCACACATGGCATTGTCTACCTTATTCATCCCTATTTCACAAGGAATAGAGAAAGATCCTAAGTCATAGCATTTATGTCACAATTACCTTTGGTATGCAGCAGATATATTTTCATTCATGCAAGCATATTTCTCAGCATGCTTTCTTTTATTGATGCATAATTCTTTGAGGAAAGAACCATACCTTGGTACTTTGGCCATTTCATTAACCAAAGGAATATTTACCTCTAATTTCCGAAGTGAGTTAAGTTGTTGTGCAAACCTTTGAGGGAATGGTAGTGGATCATACTTAGCTCACATCTCCTCCATCCATTCGTCTTCTGATTGAATTTGATCAGCTTTTGGTAAAGAAAGTGGATTCTCCTTCTTCTGGTTGGCTGAAATCTCCTCTTCACTTGACAATTTGTTATTGATTATAGCCACTGGTGGTGGTACATCAAGGAAAATAGGTTCTACAGGTAGTGATATTGCAGGTGGAAGTGGGATATCAGGTAACTCAATCTTATTTGCATACCACTGTTGAGTTCCTCCAATGGCTTTTACTCCGTACTCTTTTTGGTTTCCATTTATATGCCCTTCTGGAAGTGGTGTAAGATTTTGAGAAAGCGTGTTCATCATATTTGTAAACATCTTCACTAAATCCCCTTGTTGAGCAGCCATCATCTTCATAGTTGGTTCAAGGTTATTTAGTCGTTCATTTGCAGGTTCTGATGATTTGGATGACACATCTCCATTAGTGGCATTAAACTGGTATACGTTTTCAGCCATCGTGTTGAGCAGCTTCCTTGCTTCCTCCGGTGTTTTGAGTGTAAAGCTTCCTCCGCTAACAGCATCGACATAGGTTCGATCATCATGAAAAAGTCCATCATAAAAGTTCTGAATCAAGAGTGCTTCACTTAGGTTATGATAAGGACAACTTGCGCAGATCTCGTTGTATCTCTCCCAGTATTGGTACCACTTCTCGCCACGTAGTTGTTGACAAGTAGTGATTTTCTTTCTGACATCTGCACGCTTTGTTTCAGGGAAAAACTTGCTCAGAAATACTGCCTCCATTTTCTTCCAAGAATTTATGGATTTGGATGGCAGACTTATGAACCAGTTTCTCGCTTTTCCTTCTAATGTCAAAGGAAAAACACGAAGTCTTACTTCCTCTTGAAGCACCCAGTGATTGCGGAACAATTGATGAAGAAATTATGTAGATGCTCATGAGAGTTCTCATGAGATTCTCCTTGAAAAGTAGTGTCGCAACGTCCGGGTCCGGGGGTCCGAACCCTACCGCTGAACGACTTAAAAAAACGAAACTTGACTAAGGGAGTCGCCACTAATATTTTTTTTGCCTAGGTGTGATTAGTAACCTATCCAATTATTAAGCCTAATGTTAACCTATGCTCGGCAAAGTTAACACTAAACCTAATAAGGTCTACTTAACCAGAGATTCCATGGTCCGGGAGTCGGGTACGCGTGGGGAAGGATTAGCACCCCCACAACGCCCGTCAAAAGACGGCACAACTAGTTTAGAACTACTGTGAGTTTCTATTATTGGTTGTCTGTATTCCTAAAATTTTTCATGCCCTTAAACTCTTCTATTTGAACAAAATAAACAAGCAAAAATGGGTTTTGGATTTTTGAAGTAGGAATGTTGGGATCTTTCCCATTTTCTATTTTGTTCTCTTTTTGGATTCCTCATGAGAGGATTTTCTCTAAAACTTACCATTAAAACAATTGTTTTTCTTGAAAACTGTTATTTGTCGGGAACTTTCCCTTCTTTTGAAAACTTTGAGAAAAAGACTCTTCTTGATTAATTGATTTTTGTCTTCCGAAAAACCAAAGAGAACAAATGCAAGCACAAACTCTTTTTAATTTTCGAAAAGGGTTTTTATTCTTTCTTTTTTGGACTTTGTTAACAACTAATTCTCTTTTTGTTTTTTTTTAATTAATTGACTTAATTACCCTGAATTAAGCCTTTATTACTGATTATCTTTCTTTGATTCTTAACTGACTCAATTACCCTGAATTAAGCCATTTTATTCTCTCTAATCTCTGCTTCTTACTAAACTTAATTTCCCTGAATTAAGTTACTTATCGAACTATTTAACTTCCCTAAATTAAGTTGATTATTAACTCACTTAATTACCCTGAATTAAGTTACTTACTGAATTACTTAATTACCCTGAATTAAATTGATTACTGACTCACCTAATTACCCTGAATTAAGTTAATTACTTAATTACTTAATTACCTTGAATTAAGTTGCTTATTACTGACTCACTTAATTACCCTGAATTAAGTTGATTACTGAATTACTTAATTTCTCTGAATTAAGTTGATTACTGAATTACTTAATTACCCTGAATTAAGTTGATTACTGAATTACTTAATTACCCTGAATTAAGTTGATTACTGACTCTCTTAATTACCCTGAATTAAGTTAATTACTGAATTACTTAATTACCTTGAATTAAGTTGCTTATTACTGATTCACTTAATTACCCTGAATTAAGTTGATTACTGAATTACTTAATTACCCTGAATTAATTTGATTACTGACTCACTTAATTACCCTTAATTAAGTTAATTACTGAATTACTTAATTACCCTGAATTAAGTTGCTTATTACTGACTCACTTAATTTCCCTGAATTAAGTTGCTTATTACTGACTCACTTAATTTCCCTGAATTAAGTTGATTACTGAACTACTTAATTACCCTGAATTAAGTTGATTACTGAATTACTTAATTACCCTGAATTAAATTGATTATTGACTCACTTAATTACCCTGAATTAAGTTAATTACTGAATTACTTAATTACCCTAAATTAAGTTGCTTATTACTGATTCACTTAATTACCCTGAATTAAGTTGATTACTGAATTACTTAATTACCCTGAATTAAGTTGATTACTGACTTACCTTTCCTTACTTCTTACATCTTGATCTTGATCTCTTTTGAATTTTAATCTTTGATTAATCACTGAATTTAGTCCTGAAATGCATCGATGCACATGATGCATGAAAATCCGATTTCAATTTTAACTACCCATTAATTATACGAGGAACGCCTTTGATCGCCTCCCAATAAATGGTAAACGGTCTCCGGGCATTTCCAAGCCTCCGGGAGAAGGCGAGCAAACTCAGACACGCATGAATGAGCCGCTCACCTTTCCCATCACGGGAGTCACTCTAATTGATCTCAAATGAACATAGTAACAATTTATGATAAATAAAGATGAATGCAAATGCCCTAGACTATCTTTTTTTATTTGATTTTTTGATTATCTTGAAAATTGAATTTAATTTACCAACTTAAATCTACTCTTTTTAAAAGAAATTTAAACTAATCCTAAATTAATTCATGAAATTAAAGGCTTAGTTAAAATAAACCTAACCTAAGTCTAATAGGCCCAATATCCAATGTCAGGCCCAAATGCATAATTATAAACAAAGGAAAGGCCCAAGTGATTACCCAAAGGGACAAAGCTGCACCGTTTTTGCCTTTTTTTTTTCTTTTCTTCTTTTCTATTTTCTTTTTCTTCTTCTTCCTCTTTCCTCAAACCCGACACTCCTATTTCTTAACCTTATTAGCGTCGCCGCTGACACCTACGTCCGACGATGCCTCGACGTCTCAGCCCTCTTCCTTGATCCTTTCCCTTATTTGCTTTCTTCTCAAACCCGCGTCCATAGAAACCCGAAACCTAAACTTCCCTATTCCCGGCGCCTTTTGCCGCCGGGATAACCCCACAACGCCAAAAACTGCCTCCTTTCTCCCTCAAACTCGATCAACGCTGCAACCCTTCACTGTTGACGGAAAGATCCGCCCTCCGAACTCTAAAGATCCTCCTTTCTTTTCAAAACTCGGAACCCAGGCTCTAACCAACTCAGACTCGACCCGACATGCCCTAAACGGTACTAACACCCCTTTTTAATCAAGTTAAACCCGCTGCTAATTCTCAAAAGCTTCCATTCTACAACTTTAACCCGAGATCTACAAGAAAAGACTCGAAAAGGAAGATTTGCAGAAGATTTTGAACATGAAGGCGCTTCAAACTTTGCTAGAAAATGGAGAACAGACACACATGAAAACTCTAATAACTCAAGACTCGAAGAAATCTAAGAAGGTACTTTCTTTTCCTTAAATTCGATCCTTCTCTGATTAATCTTTCTGTAATTTGCTCCAAAAAAAGCTTAAAACCCTAGACTTTTGTCACTTTGAACCCTAGATCTCGAAAAAATGAGCCTCTTCCCCCCTTCTCTTCTGAAAGTGAGGTATATAAAGGCCTTAGCCTTCAATCTTAACCGTAAATGCCACTCCTAATCTCACGGTCCTCTTCTCTTTTTTGCTCAATTTTGTTTAAATCTGTATTTTGTCTTTTTGCAGGTGAAAATTGTTGCAACTATGCACGTGTGGAGAGGTGAGTTGGCCTGGTGAACGAAATTTCCTTTCCCTTTCCTGTTTTTTGTCTCTTTTGATTTTGCCTCAATTCGACCCTCTCACGCATATCTCCCCTTTTGCAGCTGCTCTTGCTGACTTGGACCAATTTTGACAACGTGGCAGGTGGATTTCTCCCTCTTTTCTTTGTCTCATTACTGCTTTTTGATTAAACACTGCTGCTGTGTGTTGTGTTTTGCCTATTGCCCTTAAGTTCCCACTCTTTGTGTTTTGAATCGAGACTCACCTCTGTTGTTGGCTTAATTTGTCTCTTGTTGCTTGCCTGTTATTGAGCTTGATTCTAATTCCATTGGCTCGAAATTTACTGGCCTGTCAATTGCTTTACTGCCATATGATCATTTCTCTCATTCTTGCTCATTGCACTTTGCCGTTGTGTGAACACCCTGCTTGCTTTTCTTGCTGAAATTGATTCAATTGACCATGGTTGGATGCTAGTTACTTCCAATGACCATGTCAATTTGCTGTTGAATTAATCCTTACGATGCATTTATATTTTCTATTGA